AACTTCACACACACATGGTACATCATGTCACAAATAGATATGTGCATTTGTTTCATGATCCGCTTAACAATAGCTGAATGATAGCCATTTTAAGGCTGAAAATGCATCAAAATCACGTATTTTCACAATTCCGAAACCGGATCTCAGTCATGCATGGATGGATTTTGTTCAGATTTAGTGCATATATTAAACATAATATAAGCTTGATGCACACTAATTTTTCTTCGGATCAAGTTCAAAATGGCCGACTGGCGGCCATTTTGTTTTAAAGAATTTAGTTTTCGATCCATATCTCGGACATGCCTGGACAGATCAAGTTCAAACTTCACATACATATCATACATTATATCATACACATGCCTGTGCATTTGGGCCAGTTCTTTTAAGGTCAAAAATTCACCAAAATTGCACATTTTCACCATACCGGAACTGAATCTTAGTCATGCGTGGGCAAATTTAGTTTAAATTTTTTTTGGATTGTGTTGAAAATGGCTGACTGTTGGCTTATTTTGTTTTACTGAATGCAGTTCAACATCAACTGCTTTGAATGTAAATGTCACTCAAATATGAACGGAACGGGGACGTGTCATTGACAATGACTTGTTATAATGGCAATTAATGGAAATTACGTTTTTAAAAATTTGGATAATATTTTGAATTGTAAATGCCCTGGAAAAATATTCTATGAAAAATAAAAATGAAGAGTTAAAGTGAGCTTAATGACTCATTACTGATGGGTAAATGGGTTCATTGTGGTAAAATGCCATGAGTGCATTATTGGCAATACTTTTGTCTTTGTAAGACTTTACAGTCACTTACATACATGTACATGTAGATTACATAGCCTATAAAATTGCTACTATCTAAAAAAGTAGCTAGAAATACATTATTGTTTGAGCATGAATAGATTATTCAGCATTCTGGGTGTTGTTTATGTATGCAAAGCCAGGTCAGTTTGACTCAGTTTTTCATGAATTAAAAAAAATACTCAGAAATAGTGAATATTCAGTTCTTTTATTAAAACTACAATGATGATATGCAATGATATCTTCTGAATTGTTTTTTTAGATGAATATTCTCCTGTTTAACATTCGTGATGAGGTAGATAATTATAAACAGTACTATAATGATGTCTTTCACAAGTAAGTATATATATCTGTACATTTCATTTTCACGATTAGGGTGCTACATACATGTACATGTATGTGACCATTACTTTACGTGTAGACTGGTAAAATTTGCCATGTACACAAGCCACAATTCAGAGTCAGCCATGATAGGTTTATATTTTGTACATTACTGCATGTGAATGAGTGAAATTAAAAACATAGCAGTAAGTAACAAAATTCAAAACACTATTACATGTGCTAGACTTAAGAATATCATGCAGTAATCAAGTTTGTTTTGGTAGCTCCTTTCTGCTGCAGATAAATAATTGTTTGCATTGAAGTCTTAATTTGTTGTCTCACATGCCTCAGTGTTCAATATGTAATAAACATTTTGAATCACATTATTTTTCTCATCAAGACTTTGTTGCAACATTTTGCATATTTTTGTGTTTTTTAGCTCCGCTGTCGACTTTGTCGAGCGGAGCTTATCATATGAGTGATTGTCCGTCGTCGTCGTCTGTCGTCGTCCGTGTTAATGTTTTACTTTTTCGACTTCTTCTTGAAAACTACAAGCCTGAATGCTTTGATACTTGGTGTATATGTACCTTGGGTAGACCTCTCTTAGGTTTGTTCATTTCATGTTGATATCTTCAATTCTCTAATTTTGGTGAATATTTTTGTCATTTTTGGTAAAAACTGATATTTTCGACTTCTTGTTAAAAACCGCAAGTCCGATTGCTTTGATATTACATATATAGGTACTACATGTGGACCTCTCTCAGATTTGTTCATTTTGTGATGATATTTTCAATTCTCTAATTTTGGTAAATATTTTTGTAATTTTTGGTAAAAAGTGATATTTTCGACTTCTTGTTAAAAACCAATAGTTCAATTGCTTTGATATTACATATATAGATACTACATGTAGACCTCTCTCAGATTTGTTCATTTCATGATGATATCTTCAATTCTCTATTTATTTTGGTGAATATTTTTGTAATTTTTGGTAAAAAGTGATATTTTCGACTTCTTGTTTAAAACTGTAAGTCCGATTGCTTTGATACTACTCATATTGTTCATTTTCTAATGATGTCTTCAGTTCTTTAATTGAAATGTGCATTGCTAACAGCGGAGCTATCTCAGCCGATAGGCTGCTTGTTTATAAAGTTTTTATAATAATTTTGGATCTAATGGACCTAATTTTTCATTACCTACATGGCTTGATAAAAGGTTACAAAAGTTGTCTTTGGGATTCAATGAATTGATTTGTGCTGACCTCTCGTTCCACAGATTTGTAATTTGGTGTAAATTGTTTTTCTTTTTCATTAGATATTTTGATATAGTTCAACTTTCTGCCAAAGTGTTTTATAATTTCTTAATGGAAGATGTTAAACAGTTGTGTATCCTCTCTGACCAGGAAGAGGTATGTGTAAAATATTTGGAACTAATAGTAAACAATTTATTGTCATCGTGCATCCAGCGTTAATTGAATTTATGGAAATTTCTTCTTGAAAAACGACATTCAGATTGCCTTCTTTAGTTTTTGTCTATTTCGCGACAATAACTGCTGTTTTTTTCATAAAAAATATCCCCAAAAT